GCGGAAATGGAAGGGTTGCTGCCGTTGAAGATGAGAGAGGAGGAGAAACCGTTGACGGGAGCGGGTCCCACCAAAAGATGCGACTGCATTATTGTTCACGGATTTGAAACACAGAAGAAATCTCCGTACTCTTAAGGTTTTCTTTTTTCGAGACTTAGGAGTTCGGAGTTGGGAAAGTTTCAGTCGAGGAGGAAGGGTAATGGACTGACGGTGACGGAGGATATTGTGAATTTCGGTCCTTTGGAATTTTTTAAACTTGGGCCTCTTTGGATCCATTTTAGGAAGATTCTGACCCAATAATATGGTCTTAGCCCAATCCATTTTATCTCTTCAAAATAAATGTATTTTCTAAGGTTTTTTTTAATAGTATTTTTCTAAATTTTACTTTTATTTCGTTTTAAAATTTTAATTTTAAATGTTCAATAGTATTTAGTAATATTTTTTCATTTAATAAAATAATATTGAAAGTATAATGCATTTTTAGTTCATATAAAATATCAAAATAATTTTTTTTAATAATGTGTAAATATTAATTATATAAAATTTCACGTTTCTTAAAATTATCATAATTTTAATAAACGGTGTGTTTTGTTTTTGACAAAAAAAAAGTCAATGACATAATTTTTTTATAAATGACCTAAAATAGGAAATTTTGAATTAATAAATAGTAAGCGGTAATTTTGTCCAAAATTAAAGGAATGAATATGATGGGTACTAAGTACGAACTTCAAGTTGAAGACATCACCATGAGGTTTTTTTCTTGCATTTGAAGCAAATTTAAAAATTAAAAATTAAAAAAAAAAATCAAATCAAGATCATAGGTAAATACTTACTCTCTTGTTACACAATCCAAAAGTAAATTTCAATTTTGCTCTTAAAAAATAATGAAAATACTATGAGAATCATAATAATGATTAATGAATAATTTGAGGTGTATGTTAAAATAAAATGTAAATTTTTAATTTATTTTTTTAAACAAAAATAAAAATACGGTCAAAGTGAAATTAAATAATAGCTTAATCCAAAATAGTAGGAAATAGTATATGTAAATATTTAAAAAAATAAATATGAAATCATTTTAAATGTTCATGTAATTATTTTTAATAAGTAAAATTAAGTAATTGATCAATTTAATTATTAAAATATTTAAAAATTGAACAAATCAAGTATTAAAAAGAATATTCAAAATTGATCAACTTATTTTTAACAATTAAAAATAATCAAATTATTTTAAATCAATTAAATCCATTAAAATTGAGTTCTACTGATTCATATTAAAAAATAACATCCAACAAATTAAATTTAAATTTCAATAACTATTATATTTTTTTTATCTGTGAACTAATGCTTTTATAAAAAAAAAAAAATTAAGGATTGATTGTGACAAGTGAGAATCCGATTAAATATAAAAAAGTCCATTTCCCACACTGGATGTAAGCTAAAGTTTATAGAGTACCATAAATTCTTAGTCACCATCCAAAATGGCAAATTCGAAGGTTCTTTTTCATATTTGATTAAACACCAAAAAAAGTAAACAAGGATTTTCCATTGTCAGAGTCACTTTCAATTTTAAGGAATAGGCGTCTAGATTCATTATTTAACCTTTTTTTTTTTGACATAATAATTCATATTTTCCACATTTATTTATTAATTTCCCCTCATTTTCTTTCAAAACTTTCTCCCTTTGAGAATTTCCACTAGCTAAACACGTTTTCATTCGATTACTATTAACTATTTTCAATAATTTTTTTTTTGTAATTTTGAGAATTGTTATATACCTCTATTTATATTATTATTATTATTATTATTATTATTATTATTATTATTATTATTAACCTTTAAAAAGAAAAAATATAAAACAACAAAATCACTTCTATAATAAAAAAAATAAAAAAAATAAAATGTGCACTTATATTTTTAATATTTTTTTAACTAAAAATAAAAACAAAAAAACCAAAGAAAAAAAGGCAAATTATGTTTCCACTAAAACTAACTGATTCCCTTCTTCTTGCCTATCTGTATGCCATCTGGGCCTCCATTCGCCTAATAAACACAGTTTCTCTCACACTTTTGTTTCATTCAACTTTACTTCTTAAATAAAAGAGGCAGACATATAACGCTTTCAACTTTCAATAGGCTTCTTTCTTTATCTCTCAGGTAACTGCAGTATCTTTCTCTCTTACTTTCATGAGATGAGTATTTCTGAATTACAAGAAAAACACTGGAAAATGCGATAAAAATACTTTTTTTTTTTTTTTTTTGGGTCTACATGTGTGTTTTTATGTATATGATGAAGCATTGTTTTCAGGGTCTTTTGTAAAAATTTTAATTTTTTTTTGTCACATAAGTCATCTCTGTTAGGATCATGGGAAATCTCTGTTAATGAGCTTATTTGGGTTTTTAATTTGTTCAAAGTTTTTGAAACATTTAAGGGTTGAAAGCTTTATTTAAATGACAAAAGTTGGCATCTTTGATCATTGCATAGATAAAGATTACATTTTTATGTGGTTTTGCTTTGCCAGTTTCATTAGCTGTTTAATGGTGGAGATTTCCTCTCCTCATTATGATGCGTGGGATAAAAGAATGAATAAGAATAAGCATGTTTTTATCAATTTGAAACATATTTTGGAAAATGTCAATAAAGGATTGAAAAATGTGGATGAAATAAAAAAAAAAAAAGAAAAGAAAATCAGCTGTTGTGTATCATTTACTATCTTGATTCTTCAAAAAAAGAAAATTTTATGAATTTTTACGGATTATTTCGTTCGGATTTTAGGATTCTGTAATTAACATATACAATGGACAATTTAAACCTCTCATATATTTTCAAGTGGCTTAATGTTGTTCAATATCTGATTAAGATGTCTACTGTGGGAAATTCAACCAATATATTTTGGCAAGAATCACCAGTTGGGAAGCTTGAAAGGCAGAAGCTCCTTAAGCAAAAGGGCTGTGTTGTATGGATCACGGGTCTCAGTGGATCAGGTTAGTCAAATGAACTTTCCTATGTACTTCAAAATTTTCTTTTGAATTATAATTATCCTTAGTGGAAAATTAAAATGTTTTAGCAGCTTGATTTGCTTCCTCGTGGCTTTAAATTTAAAATTTCTTCTCCGATTGGATATCATGTTCAGGAAAAAGCACACTTGCATGTTCACTAAGTAGGGAACTGTATACAAGGGGAAAGCTATCTTATGTACTTGATGGAGACAACCTTCGACATGGTTTAACAAGGATCTTGGTTTCAAAGGCAGAAGATCGAACAGAAAATATACGCAGGGTTGGTAAGTACGCTCTTGAGAAGTAAAAGTCTCCCAGAGTTAAAGAGTTTGGTGTGTGTAAATAATTTTTTGGCAAGTAAGACATGTGATATATGGCTGCAAGTCTTGGCTCAAGTTTGCAAACCATATTAACTTATCACTGTGTTTAATTGTAACGAGTAATCATGGACATCATGAAGTTTGAACATACTAACTATTAAACACTGGACCATTACATTACTTAGATAAATGTGCATATGTGAAATGTCTTTTATGACTAGATGGCTTACAGGTGGTTATGGCATTACCATTACCATTACTTGTTTTGGTAGAGCCCACGTTTTGGTTATGGCATAGTTCTTTGATTTGCTTCTAACGTTTTCTGCATGTAATTTAGGTGAAGTTGCAAAGCTCTTTGCAGATGCTGGTCTAATCTGCATTGCCAGTCTAATATCTCCGTACAGGAAAGACCGTGATGCATGCCGTGCAATGCTGCCGGATGCTAATTTTGTAGAGGCAAGCTCCTTTTGCTTCGTCCTCATCTTGATTCCTTTTATCCTTTTTACTTAAGTTGAAATGCTTTTCCTTGTACATCTACAGGTTTTCATGAACATGCCTCTGGAATTGTGTGAAGAGAGAGATTCAAAAGATCTTTACAAGCTCGCACGTGCTGGAAAGATTAAAGGTTTGATCAATGCCTTCATACATTTGTTGACAGAAATTGCCTCCTTATTTCCTATCTCTCTTCCGCTTTCTTTTACCAACAACATATGCATATTGTCAAATAAAATTCATTGCTAAAGCTTTTTGTTTTCTTGTTAATGCATTAACTAAAGAAAGATAACCTCTATGTTTGAATAGTTGCATTGATGATCTTGAGACTAAAATTTACTTTGGATCTGATGACTCTATATTTTTCTTGTTCTAGTTGGATATAGGACCTTAATAACTAATTGTGTTATTATTATAGGTTTTACTGGCATAGATGATACTTATGAACCACCATTTAACTGTGAGGTATGTGTATAGTTGACTATGCAAACTATTAATGGTGACATTAACCAAATACTGTTATCTTTCTACAAATTGTGAAACAGATAATTATTTCGCTCCTTTCCAGATAGAAATAAACCAGAAAGATGGAATTTGCCCCACACCAGGTGCTATGGCAGGGGAAGTAGTTTCTTACTTGGAGGAGAAAGGATATCTGCAAGATCAGTGACTAACTTTCCGTTGGCACATACTCAAGTGTTCTCAAAGGTGGTCACATTTAAAACATTACTTGTTGTATCCGATTTGCTTGCTGGCTGCAACACCACTTGCCCAAAGGGTGGTTAGTCGGCGCTAATTACATCATCTAGTAGTTTGAAATGAAGATTCTTTCGTCGGAGTAATTGTTATTTTTGCGATGACAGGGTTTAGAGCTTGGGGGCATATAAGGTCATTAACAACCATTGTTTTACTGGAAATTCCAGACTTAGGTCATCAAATTTATTACTTGTATTCTGGATATAAGTTAATGAACACCAGCTGTACCTTGGTTTGAAGTTTTCATGATCACTATATTCTACTCTGTAAAGCAAGTGCATTTGAATATGTTTAAATTCCTGACAGGTGCATTCAAGGTAGATCCTAACACATGTATGCATCAAAATTCAGGTCTGAGCTGTGTTGATTTTAACCTACAGAATTTGGTAAGGTGTTAACAACGAAGTGTGTGAGAAAAAAAAAATGAAGGTTATGGAAGTGAAAATTTTATTTACCATCTGATTTCTCACTTAAATTGAAGGAACATGATTGAGCCTTAAGTGTCTCACAAACTTAAATGAAAAAAAGTATTCGAGTCTTTTACAATCAAACAACTACTGAAGTTTTAGGAATTTGCAAAATGAATCCTCACGGAGTTGGTTGACTCGTTGTGCCATATCTTTCTCCAGTTTCCCACACCTATGATGCTCAATTCCTTTAAGCAAGGGAATGCCACCTATGGAATTTGTTGTTTGTGTCAATAATTGCATAGAATTTAAGGTAAGATTAATGGAGAGAGAGTAATGATACGGAGAAAACAAAGTAATGGAGTATCACCTTTTCATTGAAAAGAGTTGGAGAGGCAATCTCTGAGTTGTTTCCTTCTGCATCAGAGACAAACGTATCTAAAGTAAGACAACTCTCTATCCTAAGAATTCTCAACAAGGGGAATTCAAAGTAACTTCCATGGCAGAATCTCGTCAGTTTGGGAAGGCCTTTAAGCAAGAGGAATTCTAGTGTACAGAACAACTTTTGGCTCATCAGTTCTTCTTTGGCTAATCCTTCTGTCAAGATTACTTTTTCTACATTCTCACAATTCTCAATGTTAAGCCTCTTGAGTTGCACAAAACTTTCCATCATTGAGGACGAGAATAGGCAGTTTAAATTGTGACAGCCCTCGATAGTTAAGCATGTTAAATATTGAGCACAAGAAGGTGTTGCCAGAAGTTTTTTATGCCAGATTCTCTGAATGTTGATTGAGGACAGCTCCAAATCCTCCAAGGTTGGAAAAACCTGCATACAGCATATATATTCCTTAATTCATGAAAAACTTTTCAATGTTTAGCTGATAAAAAAAACACATGATAAGAACACTTCTGCAGCTTTCGTTTTTCATTTTCTCAATCACCAAATGAGGAACAAAAGGTTTTAACTAGAAGAAAATTTTAACTTAATCAAAACTCTATAATGTGATCAGCTTCATTGGCAGACACATCCAACTTGCGTTGTTGACATGTCTGCATAAATGTCTGGTGTAAATCTTGCAGCATTTGAATTGATGAACCAAAAAGCAGAAAATCTATTGTTACAATACAAGTCATGTAACAATTAGAAGAATGTTATATGGGAAGTTAGAAAGCCAACACTCAGGCAATGTAGCAATTCAATTGGAGTATGATCATGCACATAAACAATGAAACAATGATAAGGAAATAATTTGAACTGATGCATACCATTTCTGACCACTGTTGAACAATGGCCTTGAGGTTGCCTTCCCAATGCCCTACATATTCACCTTCGGTTGATTGTATTCCCCGCAGCATTGGTGTGCTCAACTCTCCCATAGTCAAAATTTCCATCTTTGGACACAATTAACAGAATGTTATATGGAAACTTAGAAAGTCAACACTCAGGTTGCAATTCAATTGGAATAAGATCACGCACATAAAACAATGTAACAATGATAAGGAAATCATTTGAATTGATGCATACCTTTTCTGTAAATAACTGCTGAACAATGGCATTGAGGTTGCCTTCCAACGCCCTACATATTCACCTTCAGTTGACTGTATTCCCCGCAGCATTGGTGTACTCAACTCTCCCGTAGTGAAAATTGCCATTTTTGGACACTGTCTCATTATTAACCCTTTCAAGGAAGGGAATACAAAAGCATAGTTCCCTGAACAGAAGCTTGATAGGCTTGGAAGACAACCAAGTTCCAAATACTGCAGTTGGGAGAACACGATGCCATCCATCACATCATCACTTCCATGAGCTATGATTTCTTCTATCATTTGGCAATCAGTGATACTCATTGCTTTGAGTACCATCATGCTTTTTGCCGTTGGCAGTGCTACTAAGTTTTTAAGCCTGTGACAATTTGACACTAGCAGATTCGTCAAATTTTAAAGTACACAGAAGATGGCACTAAATTCTTCAATTTGTCGCATTTCCGCACTTCTAGAATTCTCAGGTTATTGAAAACTTCTCCAACTTGGTATTCTTCCTTCCAAAGATGTGTCAACTCAGGAAGTTCTATCAGTTTTAATTCAGTCAACCCAGCAGGTGCCCCTGGATGTTCCTCCTCACCCTCCAGCCCTTCGCATTGAAATATTTCATTGAAGGGAGCTTCGCTCACAACAAGTGATCCAAGATTTGGTAAAGACTGAATGAAACTGTTTAGAATAGTTGCTGATATATTGGGAATATTTCTGAGCCCAAGATGTGTTAGTTGGCAAAAATATTGGGCTGGAAGTTGTCCATGGCATATCTCCGTCATAAAGCCATTTGCTCCCAAAAGTAAGCATTTTAAATTGGGGAATGTATCCTGATAATCAAATTAAGAAATATGTTAAACAAATGCAAGGATTTTGAACCGTAAATTTCATTTATGATCTCTAATTTTTATTCTGGTTTTAATTCTGCCCCTAACTTTTGAATTGATATATTAGATTTTCATTTTGATTACTTTGTCACATTTTCACTAACAATTAAAAAAAAAAGGGTTCACATGGTAAGCTAAGAGAATGTCCATATGGCATGTTCCATGGTAAAAGTTTTACTTGGCGAGTGGTGGAAGTGGAACCAAAATTAAAAAAATTAAAGATCATGAATGAAATTCATCATGCATATAAAACATACTACTTGCAATCCCAATGATCAACCAACCTAACTTCTATTAACAGAACCTTTTAGAAGGTCTAAATCTTTGTTGTTTGTTCAAAAATAACTTAACCCATAATTTGGTATTGAAAATTCAACAGTCAATTTATTTAATATTATTTAATATTTATATAATTATTACTTTTTAAATTATTATTTTAATTAATAATTTCTAATTTTATAATTTATTAATATATTTAATTTTAATATTATTTAAATGAGAAATTCTATTATGATTAGATCGCAATATTCAATATTACTATCAAATAGTATTAAATAATATTATGCAAATAATATAATTTTATTTAATAAATACAATATTATTTTTAATTAATTCTTAAATTTTTATTTTGTGTATTGAATAATTATATGTGAAACAATTTAAGTATTTTCGTTTCATATATAACAAAATTACTTCCCAAACATGTTCTACCTGTTCAAAACAAAATTAGAAAAAAAAAACTAAAAATAGAAAATTATACCCAACAAACCTTAAGTCCTTACATTCTACATACATATTAGAGATTCATACCTTAGTGACCCAAAACAAGGGTTGTTTAGAAGGGATAATTTCCAGTTGACTCTCTCCAAATGTTTCTGAAAAGCTCAATAACTCCCTAGCTAATATCTCCACGTTGTCGCATCCTCTCACCTCCAATTGTTGTAAGGATGGCCATCTTGTAGCATGCAACTTGGAGTAGAAATTCTTCAATTTGGGTAGCCACTGAAGTATCAAGAATCTTATTTTAGGAAATATAAACATGGTGGTTGATTCAGTGGAATTGAGTCCATGATCAAGTCCAATTACTTCTACCAAGGATTCACAGTTCAATATTTGAAGATTTTCGAGTTTGCCAAGTCTTTGCGTCATATGAAATGAGAAAACATTCAGAAGTCTTTCACAATTTTTCACTACGAGAAGAGTTAGTTCACAAAATGAACTAAATGTGAGTTTATCGTCCCATATCATTGTCCAGTACCCACTGCCAATGATTACCAATTTTCTTAAGTTAGGGAACACCTCCTGCAAAAAATTTATTTAATTGTATTAATAAAGAGAAATAAATTATACTTCTAGCTTGATAAGATACACAAAAAAAGAGCAAAAGTATCAATTTCAAATCCTAACAAAACTTTAAGGAAGATGAACTTAGAGGAGAAAAGAAGAACTAGCTACAAGCATAAACAAAGGAATCTAAGAGCATTAAAAACTACTAATTGAATTTCATAATTGGATGATTTAACACAGAGTTGTAATAACTATACTAATAAAATAATAAGTACTTAAAATGCATAGACAAATTGAGGTAATTAAAGGTATTCCTCGTTTATTACACTAGAAATTTGTTGCATGATTTTCGATAATTGATTTTTTTATGGATTAACTTATCAAAAAAATTTTTTGCTTACTATCAAAACTCTAAATTAATATTAAAATTTGATAATTTTTAATTTATTATTATCCTCTAGCATGCAAAAGGAGAAAAAATAATTTTGTGGCATATTATATAGTAATAATTAAACATTTTAAATCTAATTCAACTAGAGTATATCAAACAATCCACTTTGTGGCATATTATATAGTAATAATAAATCTCATACATATTTAAACTCCTTAAATGATTTAATAGAATAAAAACTAAATTTTACTAAAAATAATTTAATTTGGTACAAAATTTAAGATTTATAAGGAGATAAATAGATAAAATAGTCAATTATTTAATTTCATATGAAAATTATCAATTAAGGATAAAGTTTATTTAAATAAAGTTTTCAATCATAATAAATAATAAATAATAGCCAATATTAAAAAATCATTAGTTAAGGATAAAATAATTAATTTAATAAATAATAAGTTGTTCACAATTTAAACTTTTGAACTTAATAGTTTTATAAATAAAATAACAATAAATATAAAGATACCATCATGAAATAAGAAACTAAAACAGAAGGAAAAATGATTCTGAATTTAGAAGGTGATTTATATTTTTTTGTTCAAACTTTATGATTATTTATTGAAAATTTTCAAAATATTGAAATTTTCAAATTTTCAAAATAACAAAAATTTAAAATTTTCAATGATTTATTTTTTTAATACGTTTGATAATTCATTTCAAAAAAATTTAATAAAATATTTTAATTTAAAAAGTACCGAAGATCTTAAGTACTTTTTACCTACTTAATGTATTAAGTTAATTTTAAAAAAATTATTTAATTACATTACTCTTATAATATTTTTTTAACAATTTATTCTTTCCTTTTTGAACTTTTTTTATTTGAAAATACTTATAAAACCACCTCTCTTTTATACAAAAGATTCAATAAAAAAGCTACTAACTTTTAGTAGCACACCAAACATTTTTATATGACAATTCCATGCTTAAATCTTCAAAACTAAAAATTTAGTATTTAATTTTTTGGTCTTGAATTTATTAAATCTAACAAACATCATCTTAGAAGCATTTGCTATGTAAAGATCAATATGCACAAACAAAAACTAACCTTATCACTGAAAAATGGTGCAATACCAATAGTCTTTATGTTCTGCTTTCTTGGAGACGAAGTTGCGAATGCAACCATCTTTGGACAATCTTTTACTGCAAGATTTGTCAAACAGGGATATTCCACTGTACCATGCCCCCAATAAAAACTTCTTAAGCTTGAACATGACTTAAGAATTAGGGATTCAAGGGAAGGGAACATGATTGTGTTTGTTGTTGCCTCCTCTGCTCCATCATTTGTGATAATTTGCTCCATCATCACACAATTTCTTACTCGCATCCGCTCCAATTGCACAAGATTCAAAGCCATGGAAGTGGTGAATATGTTTTTCAAGCTATTACATCCATAAACGTCCAAAAATTTAAGATTTTTGACATCTAAACTTTTTTGAAAATTATCTCTCCGTATCTCTATTGCCTTGGAAGAGTCAGAGAGCACCGGGCACTCTATTCCTTCACAGTCGACCTACAAAATCCAATTTATGACACCAATTATACATATTCTATGAATTATGTAAAATTACCATTTCATTATATGGCTTTTTGATATTATGTTTTACTTTATTTTGTTAAATTATTTTAAAGAAAGTACATTAAAATCAATATATTAAGCTATTTAAAATTTATTGGCTATTTTTATATGTTATAGGGCCTAAAATAAATTTAAATCAGTATTATAACATATATATTATGTCATATCATTTATCATATAAATATTAAACTATTATTTTGCTCATATAAATATATAAAGTTAATCCATTCAAAACAACTAGATAATAAAAGAAAACACTTGAAGAATAACTAAAAAAAATAAAACAGCAAACAACAATAAACTAAACTTTATATCCTGTATTGTAAAGTTGGCTATATGAAAAACCAAAAAAAAAATAATAATAATAATAATTAAAAAATAATGAGAAACAAAAATCATCCAATTTTAATAGCAACTTGACATTAAATAATATGAAAATAAACAACCTAAAAAGGAAAAATATGTAAAGTTGAAAAGCAATAATCCTTTTATATCTAATTCATTTAGAGCATATAAAACAATCTATTTTGTGACATACTACATATTAATAATAAATCTCATATATATTTAAACTCTTTAATGATTCAATGGAATAAAGATTAAATTTTACTAAAAATAGTTTAATTTAGTACAAAATTCAAGATTTATAAGGAAATAAATAGATAAAAATAGTCAATTATTTAATTTCATATAAAAATTATCAATTAAGGATAAAACTTATTTAAATAAAGTTTTCAATGTTAATAAATAAAAAATATTAGCCAACATTAGGAAAACCATTAATTAAGGATAAAATAGTTGATTTAGTAAATAGTAAGTTGTTCACTTTTTAAACTTTTGAAATTGATAGTTTTATATATAAAATAACGATAAATATAAGATAAAGATGCAATCATGAATTAAAAAACTAACATAGAAGGAAAAATGACTCTAAAATTAAAAGGGGTGTGATATTTCTTTGGGTCAAACTTTGTGATAATTTATTGAAAGTTTTCAAAATATTGAAAATTTTAAATTTCAATATTTAATTTTTTCTATATGTTTGATAATTCAATTAAAAAACGACTGAATAGAAGATTTTAATAAAAGAGTGTTGAAAATCTTATGTACTTTTTAACTACTTAATGTATTAAGTTAATTTCTTCAAAAAAAATTATTTAATTATATTACTCTTATAATATTTTCTTTTAACAATCATTTTTCCTTTTTAACTTTTTTTAATCGAAATACTTATAAAATCATTATCTCTTTCATACAAAAGATTCAATCAAAAAGCTACTAATTTTTAATAGCATACCAAAAAATTTTATATTACAATTCAATAGTTAAATCTTCAAAACTAAAAATTCAGTATTTAAATACATCATCTTAGAATCATTTGCTATGTAAAGAACCATATACATATATAAAAACTAACCTTATCACTGAAAAATGGTTTCTGCTGTCTTGGAGACGAAGTCGCGAAAGCAACCATCTTAGGACAATCTTGTACCGTAAGTCTTATCAAAGACGGACATTCCACTGAATTACTTCCCAAATAAAAACTTCTTAAGTTTGAACATGACTCGAGAAATATGTATTCAAGGGAAGTGAACATGATTGTGTTTGTTGTTGCTTCCTCTGCCCCATCATTTATGATAATTTGCTCCATCATCACACAATTTCTTACTTGCATCTCCTTCAATTGCACAAGATCCAAAGCCATGGAAGTGGTGAATATGTATTTCAACCTATTACATCCACAAACTTCCAAAAGTTTAAGAATTTTTAAATCTAAACTTTTTTGAAGATTATCCCTCCATATCTGTATTGTCTTAGAAGCGTCAGAGAGCACCAGATACTCTATTCCTTCATAGTCACCCTACAAAATCCAATTTATGACACCAATTATTACCAAAAAAAAAAGAAAAAGAAGGAAAATTATAAGACTTAAGTAGAATTAAACCCCACTAAATTCATAATGAATGGTTGAAAGTAACATCCACCAATACAAAGCTAGCCTAAAAAGACATTTATTTCAAAGATAAAAAAAATTCTGTAAATCAAGAAGTACCTTTTTTGTGTACAACTGTTGAACGGTAATATTAAGGTCACCATCCCAGCGTACCTTTTTATCTTCACCTGCAATTACTTGTACTCTTTGCAAATTTGGTGTATTTAAATCTCCCTTGCAAAAGATCTCCAATTCAGGACAGTGGCTCACGATTACTTGGTCCAAAGATGGGAATCGAAATGTGTGATGACCAGAACAAAAGCTTTTAAGGCTTGGTAAATGTCGAAGTACCAAACATTTCAACCTATTGAAAATAATGTCATAGGTTGCTTCATCATCTCCTTCATTTCCAACAATTTCTTTCATTGAAACACAGTTTTTTATCCTCAAAATTTTGAGTTGGACCAAACTTTGCACTGCTAAGGATGTAACTAAGTTTATCATTGCTCTACACTCCCAAACATCCAAAGTAATGAGATTTTGAAAAGTTGTTGAGGACAATCCTAAACTAATCATATTGGCACATCTGAAAACTTCAATTTTTTCAAGATTGGCAAGAATGTAGTCAAGTCGTGACCCTTGCATCCACATGTGTTTTAAAGAATGAAGGCCACCCAGTTTTAAGTTTCTAATTGGCAAAAGTGTTAGAGCATTTGTCCCCTTACCAGCACCTCTTTCGTAGGAGAATAAATCATTAAATTTGCAACAACGTACCTCAAGGTTTTTCAAATTTTTGAAACTTTCAAGAAAGGTAGTTGGGAAAATAGCAGATTCATCGTGGTAGCAGCGCAAATTAAGAGATTTTATTTTATGGAAAAAGCCTTCGGAAACCTTGCTATCACATATTATTCCAATGTCATCACTGGTCAAAGACACTTCTTCTAATTTGGGAATCACCTACAAAACCAAAGAAAAGTCAATTACAATAAAATGAAAAATCTATCTACCAAGAGAAACATTACAGCATTTAAGCATTTGGCTAATTGGTACTGATGTGCTTGTGCCTCCTTTCTAAAGTCTAAAAGGCTGGTGAATCTACATTATAAGACTTTTCCCAAATTTAGAAAATTTAGGGAAATGATAAAATTCAATTTTGAACTAAATGATCAACAGCAAAAATCCGGTAAATGGTATTATTACAACCAGGTAGCTTTTTAAGTGTGATCTAAAGTTCATACCTTTTCAACTAAGAAAAGTGGTGGTTGGATTGGGGAGTCCAATTGGTCGTCCTCATTCATATCTGGCAAATTAGGACAACCAATGTCAAGTATCTTCAATTTCTTGCAGTGGAATATTTTCAACTTTTTTAACATCGGCCACTTTGTTGTGTGCATTCCTGGATAGAAATATTTGAGATTTGGCAGATTCCATAGCCCAAGGCTGGCCACTTGACCAAACTCAAAATTAGTTACACTCGTTTCCCATCCTTCCGCTTTTGAAACAATCTCCTCCACTGCACAGCTATTTACTGAAAGATCTTTAAGTTGAGGAAGAACTCTGGCAACTGAGGCTGGAAACACGTGCTTCAGACTCCAACAATTCTGAACCCATACTACATTTAGATTTTGAAATGTTAAAATTCCTTGGGGTTCCTCGTTCCAAACATTCTTCAATTTTGGTAGATTAAATACATGCAATTCCCTTAGTTGAGCAGCCACAACATGTGTTTCTTTCATATTTAACCTTTGGAGTTCAAATATATGTTCCACAGAACAACAACTAGATACTTTGAGAGTTTGAAGTCCTTGAAATGTACTCAACAAATCAAATGGAAAAACGGTAAAGAGCTCATTACAATGTTCAACTACCATTTTTTCCAATTTGCAGAAGGAATTTGCAGAGAGTTGATTGTGCCATATCATCTTCATATTTCTCAACCAGGAAATGCTTAGATGCTCCAAACGAGGGAACGCAACCTATGTGTAACGTGTAAAGATAATAAGAATAATTAGTTCCAAGAATAAAGACAAAAGAAAGAAAAGCAAGCATAGTCCAAAACTTTATAACAATAAATCTACCTTTTCATCGAAGAGAGCTTGTGGAGAGAAATGTTGGTTCTCCTCCATTTTAGATTTATATATGAATCCCCGCAATTGAGGACATTGCTCTATCTTCAGAAGCCTCAAGGATGGGAATTCAATATTATAACTTTCTGAACAAAACCCAGTAAGATGCTGAAGCTTCCTTATCTTTAGAGAGTTTAATTGAGGAAATGAGATCGTAGCCTTGTCTTCTTCTTCTATATCCTCTGCAAATATCACCTCTCTTAAGCATTTGCATTCAACTATCTCAAAGCATTTAAGATGCGTTAGACTTCTAGCCATAGAAGATGACAATAGCTGTTTCAAGTTGTCGCAACCCTCAATGGTCAAACTTGTTAGATTTTGAGTACCGTACTCAGATATATTTGAAAACCGGTTGTGCCATATTCTTTCAACATTGATTGAGGACAACCGAAGGCTCTCCAAGCGAGGGAACACCAACTACATTAATGTAATTATACTACATTATTAGAAATATTAAAAAATTAAAATACAACAAAAGAAAAAGACTAGTCTTTTAGTGTAACATGTTCCGACTTCCAACAAAAACCAAGGAATGGGGTTTGCCAATACAACGGAATGCAGTACATTGAAAGAGAAATTACTTCCCCTCTCAATAAAAAGTGATTTAGTGTTATCAATTTTTTATTCCAAGATATAAATGACTATTCTGATTAATTTTAGATCAAAATCAGATTAATAATAGTCACTAATTTATGTTTATCAATTTCTGTTTATTAAAAAATCCAAATTGAAATAAAACATTAAATTCTCAAGTGAAAAATCATGTGCAAACTATGATTGAATTTTAATTCTGACATTTAGCCCTCGAACAATAAAACATTCACATTCAGGTCATGGCCTCATTGTCAATCACAAAGGCTTTCATTTAAGAGCATATATAGATTTAGAAGAAGTCAGAAATAAGACCAACATGATATGCATTTGAATGAGCATTTAAACAAAAAGGATTTATGTTTTGATTAAAGAGTATATATTTCAATACACCATCAATGAATGAAAGGTTGAAACCTCGTTCATTAGTAAACCTAAAAGCTAAAATGTCCTTGAAAATAGACTACTTCAAATTTTGGATATTTGTTCAGACTTTCCTTGATAGATGCTTTTTCCTTTTTTTTTTTTCTCTATATCACTGATTTTTTTTTTATTTTTTGCCTTTTTCTTTCCATTCATTTTTTTTTAAAGCAAAATCATTTAGCAACTGACGCAAAGAAAAACATACCTTTTCACTAAAAAGCGATGACTCATATTGAAATGAAGAATTAGAACCCCTTTTGTTTTCAAAGCAAAAGCTAATGAGCTGTGGTAGACCATGAAGTGTCAAGGATCGCAATTGAAGAAATTCATTTTTATAAGCTGCACCTTTATCACTAATGATATATTCGATCTCCGAACCATTTTGGATATGGAGATTCTTCAACCGCTGAAAGCTGTCCTCATCCATCAACTCACGCAGTGCAATCTTGACACCTTTCATGTCATCTAAATATAGATCTTCAGTTTTCTTTAGAAACATCCTAAATCCATGATCCAACTCATCAACACTTGTATTTAACTTGAGTTTCAATGTCCTCGAGTGTTTACGCTTACCAACCCAATCCCATCCTTTTCCTATGAAAATCTTGTATCTTTCCAACTTCTTGGAGAACAAGTCCGCTGGCATAATCTTGGCATCAGGAATATGAACATCTAAAGTGGTCAGATGAGACAAAAGCTCCAATTCAGCAAGACTAGCATTGCTTCGTTGGTTGGCTTGCCTCTCCACTTCCCATTGAACAAAACTGTTACCCATATACAATTCTTCCAATCTAGACAAACTCGATAAGACCCCTGGTGGAATTATTTTGAGTCTAGTACAACCACTGAGATCTAATAACCTTAATTTGATCAATTCCCCAATTTCCTTAGGTAGCCTTTCAAAATCAGAACGCAAAAGGCTGAGAATTTCTAAATTCTTGAGCTCTCCAATCCCAGCAATATCTCCCATAATACAACGGTCTAGGCACAATGTCCGAAGGTTTGTTAGGAGACTAATTGAGGAAGGTAAGGACTGAAATTGCATATGAGTCAAATCTAAAACTTTAAGATTTAGTGTTTCCTTAAAAAAGTTGATTGGCAATTCCACGGAAAGATCCTTGCTATACAGAAGAAAAAGATCAAGTTGCGGACATTTCAACTCTTTGGGGAAATAGCTAATATTAGCATATTCCAAACTAATCATGGTGCATTTTTCCATTGTCTCTCTATTAGGCCAATCTTCCAGAACATCTTCAGGTTTTAATGCAAACGCATTGTTGTCCCTAGAAGCAATTGCTAAGGTGACATCACAAATAAGATCATGCATATCAACACGCACATTGGAATAACTATCACGCAACAAACAAGAGGATTTGAGGTCACTCACCACTGTCAACAATCTATCTCGTGTTTCTTCTACTCTGTTGACACCTTGAAATAAACCCAAACCAATTGTATATTTCAGCAAGTCTTGAATGGGAGCGTGGTGACCTAGCAGCCCACAAAGCAAGAATGTCTGTTTGAGTTCGCTTTCCAAATGGTTGTAACTCAACTCTACAGCTGAATAAACATGTGCTGGTATTCCTGTGAAGTTTGTTGGGGAAGGCCTTTGTAGTTTTCTTAAAGCATCATTCCACGCAAATAAGCCTTTGTTTCTTAAAGCCCTCGCAACCGTTGCAATGCGACAGGCAGTCCTGCACATTTTTTGGCTACTTCAATTGCTGTGGATCGCAACTCAGGACTTTCAGCATCGTCTCCAGCCATCTTCTTAAACAGGTCCCAAGCTTCTTTACCTTCTAAAACAGATATTGAAAAATTTTTTCGAGCATACATCTCATTCCTTAGAACATTTAGATCTCTTGAAGTGAGCAATATGTTGCATCATTATTTTCATCTCCAAAAGGAATTCCCACATCATCCAAATCTAGTTTCTTCCAAATATCATCTAAAATAACAAGAACCTTCTTCTCTTTCTTCAATCTTTCGCGTAATCGACCTGCTCTCGCCTCCACACTCTTTTCTTCCAATTTTAGACCCAATAAATCAGCAAGTTGGTCTTGAATTTTCTGAAGGTCAGGAGTCTGATTCACAAATGCCATAATCACCGAATCAAATAACTTATCTTCTTTGGCCTGTCTATAAACTTCTTTGACTAGAGTGGTTTTGCCCACACCAGCCGTCCCATACACCCCTATCACGTTGGTAGTACCATCTTTCAATGCCTCCATGATGTCTTTAAATACCTTCGCTCTTGATTCGAACGCCTCAAAATCTTTAGGTTTTGCATCCACTATGACTGGCGGAGGAGCAGGGCATGAAACACTGTTGAATTCATCTTGTTGGAGGAGTTCATTAACAGCCAAGACGACTTCTTCTGCTTTCCTGCTAAGTTGGTAGCGAGACTTGATGTTGGGGCAAAAGCCAATGAAGCACTTGCTCTTTGCTTTGTCTTGAAGATCCTCCACATTTTTCCTCTCGTCTTCGAGTAACTTGTCCACCTTACTGCACCAAAGCTCGACATCCGGTTTTATCTTCTCCAAGTTCCGTTTTGCTACTTCAATATAATCCTGCATACTTTCTCTTTTCGCCAGCAGCATCTTCATTTTCTCCTCAAACTTGTCAACGTTTTTCTTGTAAACGATTACATATCTCATGTAACGTTTGACTTCGTGGAAGATGCCTTTCGCAATTTCCGAACAAAGGTTGGCTGTAGTGCCAGTAACAACAGGTTCCATTTTTTTTTTTTGGTTGATTGGTTTGTTTGAAGCAGACCAGAAAAGCTAATGACAGAACGAAACAGAGACAAGAGGGGAGCAATTAACAACAAAGATTAAGACAACAAGCAAATATATGTAATCAGTTATGGGCAAAGACTAGAAATGGTTTAGCAGACTCCCTTCCGATGACGGAACCGGAGAAAAACAGAGAGGAAAAACAGAACAACAAGGAAACTAAACCAGGTTAAAAGAACAAAAGGAAAAGCAGAAAGGAGGGATGTAGGGGAAATGGTTTTTCAAAAAATAAAAAAAGAGCAACTGAGATTGAGGAGAAAGTTAGAGTGGAAATTGATTAGAGACATCTTAGTTGAGGAGACAGGTTGAAGCTTTATTTAGGGGTAAAGACTAGAAATGGTTTGGACAGACTCGTCTTCCAATCCATTAGACGGAACCAAGAGAAAAACAAAGAAGAAATAAAGAAGAGTAAGGGTACTTAAACCAGGCAAGAAAGCACAAAAGGAAAGCAAGGGGACGAGTAGGGAAAAGGGTTTTTCGAAAAAAAGAGCAACCGAGTTTGAGTAGAAAGTTAGAGTGGGTACTATAGAGGCCTAGAGGAAGATGAGATGGGGAGAAAGGTTGAAGCTTTTTTTATAAGTGGAGAGAAGAAAGGCAGTATTTCAGATTTAAGCCGACTACAAAGAAGTTGAATCAATACTCACATTACTCAAAGTCCTTTCTTTTAAATATTTTTTAAGTATTTTCTTTTTCATTAAAAGAAAATTTTGAGAAATTGTTTAACATTGCAATTTGCTTAGAATTTCGAACGTTGAAATAAATTGAATTACAAAGAAAGAGAGACCTTCGAAACTACAGCCCCAGCTCCCTGACTTTGAAAATTACACAGTAGCTTTTGAAAAGAAAAATCAATTTTCTCTATTTGGATGTTAGTGCAACTTGTTTTTTGATCCTTTGTGATGCATTAATTATTCACCATTTTCTATTGGTTACTTGCTTTGAAATTGCACTTATGAAGAAAGACCGACTCGGTCGCTAACTTTGCCGACTCGGTCGCTAACTTTGACCGACTCGGTCGCTAACTTTTCCAGTATTTATCTTTTTCATCCTCACAAATTGGACAGATAATAATAATAATAATAATAACGATAATGATAGATCGAAGAGAAATTTTGGTGAAAGATAGAGTTTTCTTTTGACAACTGTCAAGTTTTAAAATAATTATTTTTCCTTTCCGTTAAAATAAAAAAAAAATTAGCATATCATTTTGTCGCTTAACTATTTTACCTTTTTAATGTACTATTTAAAAAAAAATTTTATTAAATATTTAAATTATATTTTTCGTAATTAAATTATCTCAGTCTTTAATATTGTCAAAAAAATATTGACCTGAAATGAATATTCAATATTAACACATTAAAAAAATTTAATTAGTAATATATCATCACTATCATATTAATATTAAAAAATTTTAAAAAATTTTTAAAAAATTTAAATATTTTAAATATTTTTAAAAATTATAAAAATTTAAGGAAAATTAAGAATTTTCAAAAAAAATCAAAATTTAAAAAAATCCAAAAATTTCATAAATTTTTTGAAAAATTCTTGAAATAGTCGATGATTACCCTTCCATTGCCATGGACACCGAGTTTCCAAGCATTGTATTGCATCCCGTGGTCAATTTCAAGAACAGCTATGACTATCACAACCAAACTTTGAAAGACAATGTTGATATGTTAAAGTTGATTCAGTTGGGCTTTACGTTTTCGGATCATGAGAAAGGAACCTTGCCTACTTGTGGAACTGATAAGTTTTGCATTTGGCAATTCAATTTCGGTGAGTTTAATGTCAACAAGGATGTGTTTGCTGAAGATTCTGTCGACCTTTCGAGACAAAGTGGGATTGATTTCAAGAAAAACAACGAGAAGGCAATGAGATTTGGTGAGCTTTTGATGTGTTCAGGGATTGTTTTGAATGATAGTGTGCATTGGGTTACTTTCCATAGTGTTTATGATTTTGGTTACTTGTTTAAGCTCTTGACTTTGCCATAACTTGCCAGTTACCCAAGTTGGGTTCTTTAGTTTGATCAATATTTATTTTCCCACCCTTTATGATATCAAGCATTTGATGAAGTTTTGCAACAGTTTGCAAAGTGGATTAAACAAACTTGCAGAGTTGTTGGAAGTGGAAAGAGTTGGGATTTGTCATCAAGCAGGTTCAGATAGTTTGCTCGCATCTTGTACATTTATGAAATCGAAAGAGAATTTCTTTAGTGGCTATTTGGAAAAATATTCAAGTGTGTTGTATGGTTTGGGTGTTGAGATCGACAGGGTACTCTTTGATAATGAAAAGTAATAAAGACAAAAAGAAAAGGAAAGGAAAAAAAAATTTGGACGACTTATTGTTTGTTTTTACGAGTATGCTTTATATCCATAGTTAAATGTCGAAGGTTTTTTTATTTTAAATATATTTTACGTTTTTTTGATTTTTTTAATTTTAAGAAATTTTTATATTTATTAAAATATTCATTTTTTGAATTTTTCAAAATTCTTTTGAAAATTTTTGGATTTTTTTAAAATTTTGATTTTTTTGAAAAAATTTAATTTTCCTTATTTTTCTAATAACTTTTAAATAAAATTTAGAATTTTTTTTAAAATTTTAAAATTTTTATAATTTTAAAATATTTTAAAATATTTTTTTGTATTTTTCAAAAATTTTTAGAATTTTATAAATTTTTTTAAAATTTTATTTTAATGCTGATATGGTATTAACTGAACTTTCTTTTATGTATGTTAATATTTTATTAGATATTTATGTTAAATCAATTTTTTAACTGTGTTAATAGTTTAAGTAATTTAATTTATGAAAATATAATTTAAGTATTTTATTAGAAAATTTTTATTTAAATATCACACTAAAAAATACAATAATTTAGAGATCAATATTATTTAAAAAATAATGAGATAAAGTTTTACGTAGGGAACAAATAAGTTAGAACACTTTAGAAGAAGATAAAGAAGTTGACGGAGCATAAACAATGAGAGAGACGAGGGAGAGAGACAAGAATGATGGGAAACAAAGATTTGGTAGTAGAGAAAAAGTGGGTGGCTGTTTAATCTTTACTCTTTCACTGCCTCCAATTATTCTCCTTGTTTTGTCTTATTCTTTCATTCATTTTTTTTGTCTCTTTCTTTTGTTCTTTAATATTTTTATGTTTTCCTTTTATTTTCTTAGATTGAGCTTTAAAATTTTGACTTTTGTTATTTAAAACAAAGCTTCTCCCAAATAATCGAAAAAAAAAAAACAAAAAAGGGAGAATCAAAATTAGAGAAAGTAAATTGAAGGTTTTTCTAAAAAATTTCAGAAAAGATAAGTGTTTAGAGATTTTGGACTATAAAAAAAACTAAATTGAGTAGTGAAAATGAAACAAAAAGTTTGAATTAATTTTTTATATGTATTTTTAAAAATTAATTTTACAGCTTTCAATAAAGAACTTAATATTTACAGATTGAAAGAACTCTTACAAGAGCATTAGAGAAGAGAAAAGATTTAAGAAGAGAGAGGAATTGGATATATCTAATTAAGTTTTATAAAC